GAAATGAAAAGAAAAAAAAAAGAAAAGAAAAAAAAAAGAAAAGAAAAAAAGAGAACGGACACACCCTCTTTGTACGTCAGCAAGATCGATACACGATCCTAAGAGCTCGAGAATAGATCATGATCGACGAGGAAGGAAGAGAGAGAGAGAGAGAGAGAGAGAGAGAGAGAGAGAGAGAGAGAGAGAGAGAGAGAGAGAGAGAGAGAGAGAGAGAGGGAGGGAGGGAGAGGAAGGGTGGGAGGGGGAGAAAGAGAGAGAATTGCCAACTCGCCGGTTTCCCGACGTAGAGACTTATCTTCCTGACTCCGTTCGTAGCCCTCCCTCCCTCTCAACAACCCTCCCTGGCCGGCCGTTTCCGATATTAAAAATATCTACCGGTAGATAGGCGCTCGACTATCGGCATTCGAGCACTCGAAGGAACCTCTATTAAAAATAGCTATCTCTATCTGAAGCCGGGAGTGTGCACACCAACCAACAACATCGTTGCTTTCATGTTAGAAAGAGTGAGAGAGAGAGAGAGAGAGAATGAGAGAGAGAAAGGAGAGACAGAGAGGGAGGAGTTCTTTCTATCTCTTTCTATCTTCCGTGCTTCTCCACTAGCTGCCACCCCTCCTCTCTCTCTCTCTCTCTCTATCTTGGTCTCATAACTTTTGCGAAGAAAGGAGAAGGACAGACACGGTCTCGTGCAAGAACGTAAAAAGCACGATTTCTCAGAAGATACGGGATCTTATCGCGAACAAATGTTTGGCCCCGTTTTATCGGCGAGACTTATCGTTCTTCTTTCTATTTTTCGTTCTCTTTCTCTTCGTGTTGTAAGATCTTAGAAGAGAGAGAGAGAGAGAGAGAAAGAGAGAGAAATTGGACCGATTTTTTATTTTCATTTCGATCCTTGATGATCCCTACGTTGTTCCACGGAAGATTTCACGAACGTGTTACTGTTCTACGAAGGAGAGAAAGAGAAAAAGAATATGTATGAGAGAGAGAGAGAGAGAGAGAGAGAGAGAGAGAGAGATGAGATCTTCGGAGGATAGACACGAAGGAACGGAATTAATTGGACGATTCAAAGAACGATCGTTGCATAGGCGGTCACGTTTCGATGATCTTCTAGGATTTGGATTTTCAGAAGGAACAACAGTGTTCAAGGATACAGTCCGAAAACCGGATTATAAAGTATCGAAAAGCAGGTACCTACCGATCACGAACTCTTACTCTTTCGTTTTAAATTTTTACACGTGTGCGTGTTGTTATACGTATGTAACTATGTGTTGGCACGAACGAGAAGAAAAAGCGGATAAAGAAGTCCCGGGTAGGATAGGGTTAGCCACGGAGGGATCGATAGATCGATCGATGGGTCCATCCAACGTTAACACGCCTCTCCCGATCGCCTCGTGCCCTTTCCCTTTTTAACTTTTTCTCCTTTCCTCTCCTCTCCTCTCCTCTCCACTCTTTTTTCCTTCTCTTATTCTCTTTTCTTTTCTTTTCTTCGTCCATGCGTTTATGTGAGACGAATAACGCCCGTTGATGAAAGAAAAAGAGAGAGAGATAGGAAGAGAGAGAGAGAGAGGAAGAGAGAGCTAAAACTCGTCGTCGTAGCGCGAACTAAGACTGAATGAGAGGAGAATATAAGAGTAAAGAGAGAAAGAGAAAGAGAAAGAGAGAGAGAGAGAGAGAGAGAGAGAGAGAAGGAGAGAAGAGAGAAAGAGAGATAGAGAGAGAAAAGAGAGAAGGAAGATGCCTCGAGGGAGCCCTCGTTGCACAATTATCTCATTTGCCGATCGGACCCTCCCACGTGTTAATTTGCTTGTTGGTTAACCCGGCGTCCCTCTTATCGTTTATTTCGTTCTTGCCTTTCGTGGAACCCTCTTCTTTCTCCTCCTTCACGAGTTTACTCCTCTACTCTTCTCCTTATCCATCCTTCTATCCATCCATCCATCTATCCATCCATCCATCCGTCCATCCATCCATCCTTCCTTCCTTCCTTCCTTCCTTCCTTCCTTCCTTCTTCCTTCTTTCTTCCTTCCTTCCTTCCTTTCTCCTTCCTTCCTTTCTTTCTTTTTCTTTTTTTTCTTTCTTTCTTTCTTCCTTTTTTCCTTCCTCCCTCGTCTTTGAAATCGTGATCAACCTGGTTCGCGTTCTCTTCTTTCGAGAGATCGAAAAACGTGCGAGAATACATATACATGTGGAAATGCGTGTGTATGTATGTGTGTGTGTGTGTGTGTGTGTTTGATAAAGAGAGAAAGAAAATAAAGATAGATAGAAAAGACACGGATCGATCGACAATGACTCAGTGAGATCGCGTTAAGATAAAAATAGACTGGAATATCGATAAAAGTTGTACTTCTTTAGCTATCCTTCTTTTGCTCTTGAGACGATGATAATATTGCGTAGCAATCGAAATAAAAATCGTCGATTATATCGTATAATAATCCCAATAGTTTGTCGAACGGTTGTAATATCACTCATACATTAAAAAACAAATAGACAAATAATAAAAAAACAAAAATAAAAATAAAATAAAATCAAAAAAAAGATTACCTAATGTTCGCACACAATATCTTAACGAAGAACGCATAGTAAAATACACATACACGTATAGACGCGTATATGTGTATGTATAAGATGGATTTTAATTTACTATTGTCACGTATCTCCTTTTTAATAAGTATGTCATCGAAAGAGAAAATCAATCGTTTGTTTTAATGCCATCTCGACTTTAAAACGAAAGCAAAGTTCAACGGTAGATACATACATAAGTGCGTTCAAAAAAAGAATAGAAAAGAGAAAAGATTTCGATAGATCGATAGATTAATTGATCGATCGTTCGATCGATCGATTGAAGAATAGTATCGGGACCCATGGAATTCTCGTTAATTATTATCGTCCACGATGCGATACGTATCTAGGAGAACGATGATGAAATTTTGTTTGAACGAAACGATATCTCCTGTCTCCTGATAAAGATCAACGATCTACGATCTTGTGCATCGAAACACGAGTAATCGATCGTTCTCATTTCGTCGAAATCGAGATCTCTAATCGGACATGAAACGCCAAGAACAAAGGGAAGCAAACAACGTAAAGCAAAAGTGAAGTAATGGGGGAAAAATATCTGATAAAAAAGAAAAGAAAAAAACAAAACAAAAATTAAAAAATAACAAAAAAAAAAGAAAAAAAAAATAAGAGAAAAAAGAAGAAAAAAGAGAAGAGAATAAAATTCTTGGAGTAACTAAAAGAAAGAGGAGAGAGAGAGAGAGAGAGAGAGAGAGAGGACGTTGTGGAACGACGACGAAGCGGCGGCGACAGAGGAGGAAGTGACGTCACGCGAAAGTAACGAGCCTCGCTCAGCCCCGCGATAAAGAGCTAATCGCGCGATCTTAATGAACTCCTCCCATTAACGCTCCGAGGCCGCGACCAGCGCGCGACGTTCGTCGAAACTCTCACACAGACATACACATTCTCTCTCTCTCTCTCTCTCTCTCTCTCTCTCTCTAATATATATATATATATATATATATATATATATATATACATATATACATGCACTGCTCCTCTTTCTTCTCTATCTATTTGTCTCTGTTTCTTTCTCTCACTCTCTTTCTCTGCCCCCTCCTCACTCACTCATTCATTTTCTTGCAACACGTAAATCGAAAAATGAGAACAATATCAAGTCGATGAAAAAGAACGTGGGAATTCTCTGAATAATCGTCGTTAACTCGTTAACTGTAGTTACTTACTAGAAATGGGAAAGGAACTCTCCATTCGCAGTTGGCTTGCCCTCCTCAGTCGCCACAAGAGAATGCTCATGATAAAAATGAGAGAAAAGGAAAGAGAAAGAGAGAGATAGAAAGAGAGAGAGAGAGAGAGAGAGAGAGAGAGAGAGAAAGAGAGAGAGAGAGAGAGAAAAAGAGAGGTCGATCACGAAAATCGAAATCTCATGAACTCTCGTATCACATCGCACCAAATCCTTTTATTGCATTTTTACATTTTTTTTTCTTTCTTTTTTATTTTTTATCTTTTCCCCTTCCTTTTTTTTTTTTAAATGCACTCAAAAAAACACTGCACTAGACGATACTCGATCGCGAACGATCTCTTTGTTAGGAAGCAACATTTTTATGTATTGTTCTGTTTTTTCTTTTCTTTTTTCTTTTTCTTTTTATTTTGTCAACTTTAAAAAAGAAAGATAATTTCTCGACTCTGCACACGATAAAGCCGGTTACCGACTCTCGTCCTCGATTTTTCGTCGATATTCGATAAAACTAAATCGCACGATCTCCGCTTCTTCCACTGCAGATCACGAAATTGGAACTGGCAGTATCTTCTGCGAGGCGGAATCAAACGCACGTCCGGATAATCCGCGTATCGTTTGGCCGAACCGTTTCTACGTTCGTTTCTCTCTTTCTCTCTCCTCTCTTTCTTTTTCTCTTCTCTCTCTCTCTCTCTCACACTCTCTCTCTCTCTTTCTTTCTCTCTGTCTCTCTCTCTCTATCTCTTTTTGTATTTTTCTCTTCTTCTCCTCGCTCTTTTCCTCCTATATAAGAGCGTTATCGTCGTTCGATAAGTCATCCAGCTTGATCGTCATCTTATCGATCAGAAACGCACGTACAATTCTTCAGCGTGTAGAACGAACGTATTACGAAAAATTGATTCACCTAATGTTTTTCCAAATCGGCAAACGTAATATCGTTCGGGCGTAGAAGTTCGAGGCGCTTCATTTTTTATTTTCCATAAGAAATCACAATTCGAATAATCAAAATTCATGAAATGATTTATCGATGAACTGTGACAATCGACGATCAATTAATTATAAAAATCACGATCGGTTAAATGTCTTCTATTTTCGATTACAATTTCTTGAAGATACGTAGAGAGAGAAAGAGAGAGAGAGAAAGAGAGAGAGAAATAAAGAGAGAGAGAGAGGGAGAGAGAGACAGAGAAAGAAAGAGAAATAAAAAAACGGGGTTAGAAATAACGTGAGAACGTGTTCGCTCTTCTAGAGAAACACTATCACTGGGTTTCGAAGCGACACAAGGACCCATGGCTACCTGTTATCACATCTTCTCTCTTTCTCTCTCTTCTACCGCTATATATACACTCGTACATTCTCTCTCTCTCCCTCCCTCGCTTTCTCTCTCTCTCTCTGTCTCTCTCTCTCTCCCTCTTTGTCACACATATACAGTTATACCTTCCATCTATCTCCCTCTTTGCTTGCCCTCCTCCCTATCTCCCATCTTCCATCCTTCTATCTCTATTACTCGACGATAATGTCGAGTAAACATTTCCCGTAGTTATATCTTCTTTTCTCTCTCTTTCTCTTTCTCTTTCTCTTTGTCTCTTTCTCTCTTTCTCTCTTTCTCTCTCTCTCTCTCTCTTTCTCTCTTTCTCTCTCCCTCCTTTTTCTTTTCTTTCTCAAAGAAAGTAGGAAAATTCCAAGGGAAGAATTACAAAAATGTCTTCATATCTACTATTTATTTATTTATTTATTTATTTATTTATTTATTTATTTATTTATTTTTCTTTTTTTCTTTCTTCATACTTAATACGATTACTTCGTAATGAAAAAATGAAAACTTAAGAATTGCATAATATTATTGTTATTAAATGATCGAAATGGAAGAGAAACAGTGAGAATAACTATTTTACAAGAGAATTTGTTGGATTCTCTTGTCTCTCTTTCTCTATTTATACGAGTGTACCCCTCATCACACCGATGCTACACGGAGCTTGAACTTCGCCGATAACGTGAAACGATAACGGATAACGATAACGGGCCGCGATACTCGTAACGCGCGTTACAACGAGCTTCGTGACTAATGGCGATAACGATAAGGATGATCGTAAGACACGTAGGAAACGACTGTATCTAATAACTGTGTCTCTTTGTCCTCTGTGCTCTCTCACCTCGCTTGCGCTCTAGTTTTAACGACTCCTGTTCTGTTTTGGTATTTTTTATTTTTCTTTTTTTATTCCTCCTTTTTTTTTAAGAAAAGGATAATATTTTGAAGAAAAAAAAAATAAAAAAGAAAATAAGAGAAAAAAAATAAAGAAAAGTTAATATTAGAAAAAATTTGAAAATCAAATTAGTTTGAAGACTGATACTTGAAGTATCAGCCTCGCCATCGATAATTATTCAATGATGTGCCCTATCGTGTTTCCATTTGAAAATTCCCTCTCTCTCTCTCTTTCTCACTCTGTAGCGCGCGAATGTAATTTAAAGTGATTGATTCGACGTATGCGAGACGAATCGTGTACATATACTATGTGTATATATATATATATGTGTATGTGCGTGCATGTGTGTGTGAATATATATATATATATATATATATATATATATATATATACATATTTATACATTCGTACGTTTGTAGCGATAGAAGGCTGAAGCGTATAATGATATCGATGAATCGAATGATCGGCAGAAACGCTTAATTACCTTTCTATTTGCTCTTTCCTAACGGTATATGAAGATAGAAGGATGTATAGATATATTAGTCATAGTGTTTAGCAGTATCAAACATGCGTTTATCGATGGAATTTTCTTTCGATGGGTGCTTTTGAGCAAGTATATATACTTTACTTATGAATGTATGTATGTACATATGTACTTTACGTGTTCGTTTAACCAGCTACCGATTCACATTTCAACGACGACATTATGGTTCAACGTTAAGTTGCGTCACGCCTCTAAAAGGCGTTGTGAAATACACGTACTTACATACGTAGGACAATTATCGTCTGGCCAATCGGTAATTACTTGCCGATATATTATATCTACTCAACGTAAGAGACTCTAGATTACGATGATAACGAGAAACGAGTATACTTTGAGCTCTTTCGAGTCTTTTTGCGATCCGAATCTGCCTCGTTTTATCGATGAAAGAACAACCGGAGGAGGAAGGTTATTTCGTAAAGAGCATAAAAATTCATTAAAGTTTGTAATCGTTTGCTTTTATGGCTGATTGATAATTCTTTCGAAAAATAATACAAAAAACAGAGAGAGAGAGAGAGAGAGAGATAAAGAGATATTTTTATGCATAACTCTAGATCGAAAGTGTTAATTAACTTCACAGAGGATAATCGATTGAAAAAAAGAATAAGCTATCTTTCGAAAACGACAATAGAAGGATATACCATTGGGAAAAGTGTACGATTAATTCGTCCCAACTGACGAAAACGGATGATCAAAACAGTCAAAATGATAATCGAAGAATGTTATGATAAATATGTACGTGTGCAATGTACTGGTTAATTACTATGAAATTGCCATATATATATATATATATATATATATATATATATATATATATATATTTACTTACACATGCATACATACATATATTCAATTATATATGTGAACGTTTGCAACAATGACGTTATACATGCAATACATTTCGCTTTATCACGATACGACGTTATCGGAAAACGGCGTTATCACGATTCTTACTGCGAATAATACTTTTTACAGACTATTGCAAGTAAATAATAATCGAATATTCGAGGAATCATAACAGGATCTTACTCTTTTCCTATCTCGATATTGCTTTTAAATCGAGTAAGAAAGAAAAAAAAATGAAAGAAAATAAAAGGAAAAAGGAGAAAAGAAAAAAAATGTCTGCCAACCAGAACGAAAAAGGAAGTGTGCATTGCCCAGCTCAGTCATCAGTCCTTCTCCCTTTGGCTCTTTCTCCTTCTTCTCATCCTCCAACCTCCCGATTTATTTTTTCTCTGTCTTCTGTAGACTCACGACCAAGAAGAGTTTTGTGGCTTTTCACTGGGTCGACGGTGAAAAAGAGCCGGTGCTTTTTTATCGGTCTACGCAATTATGATTACGTCCCCTGTGGAAGTAGCGGGGGTTGCACTGTAGTAGGACGATTAGAGTCCGCCTCGTCAAAATGTGCGCCCCCACGGAACAAATGGTCGCCCTGTTGGAACGCTTACATCATCCCCTGGAGCTCCCGCGGAAGAGTGTCCAGATAGAACGTAGTGGGGGAGACCAGAGAGAAGAAGGGAGAGATTACACAAATGAGAAATGACCATCAGGCTATCGGAGAACTTTGCTAGCGGTTTCTAGTGTCTCTCTCTCTCTCTCTCTCTCTCTCTTTCGTATTCAAAGTTACGAGCTTTCCACCATAGCATCTGCCCATCTCCATAGCGAAGAACTGTGATCGCCAAAGAGAAACTTCATTTTTTTGTTTTTTTTTTCATTCGTTCTTTTTCTTCCCCTTGTAAGACTAGAAGAACGAGAGAGACAAAGAAAGAGCGAGAGAGAGAGAGAGAGAGAGAGAGAGATATCGTTTAGATGGTACTCATGAGATAGTCGTCTTTCAAAACGATTTTTCGAGATTCACATGAGATCCTACTACCGTCGATGCTTCTCGAGAAGCTACTCGATTTTAGACTCGGCGAACCGAGTTTTATTATCTGTCCATCTGAACCAATGAGAGAAGGATGGAGAAGGACTATCTCAACTCGGACAACCGTTTCTCAATCCTCTCTCCTCGGAACGGAAAGGGATAGAATAAGAGAGAAAGAGAGAGTGCAATGGTGACGGTGGTGGTGGTGATGGTGGGAAGGGGAAGGAAGGGGAGAAGAATCTTTACGAGACAGTGAGACCACTGTTAGATTCGTCTCTCTTTAGTCCCGTGCCCACTCTCCCTCTCTCCCTCTCTAGTTCCTTCTCTCTCTCTCTCTCTTTCGTCTCGCTAGGAGGATCTTAACGAACGAGATAACGCGGCGCCAGCTACTCTTTCTCTCTCTCTTTCTCTCTCTCTCTCGCTCTCTCTCTCTTTCTCATCGTACTAGGTACTCGAAGAGGCCAACGGTCACCGACTTTACAAAGATGATCCATCCTCCGGGTAGACCTCTCACTCTCTCTCGCGTGCGATTACGTGGAATCTCTTGTCCCTTCTTCGCCGTTTCACGCTTCGGGATACAGAAATGAATGATCTTGTTGATCCTAAAGCGAATCGATACAACGGTCTGCCTACACGAAGAAATTCTTACTGAGTAAAGAGAGAGAGAGAAAGAGATAGACAGACAGACAGATAGAGAAAGAGGAAGAGAGATGCACAAAGAGAGGAAGAAAGAGAGAGAGAAAAAGACAGACAGACAGAGAAACAAGGAAAGGGAGACAAAAAGAGAGAGATAATGTTTAATAAGAGAGAACGATTTTCTGGATTTTCTTTCGCGTCAGACGACGATAATAGAGGGTGACGTAGGTCTCGCGTTTTCTTTTTTTCCCCTTTCTTTTTTTCTTCTTCCTTTCTTTTTTCCTCCCCTTCCTCGAAACATCAAACCAGCCAGAAATCGGCATTGTCACCCTCCTCGAAACTTGTCGCGGCGACTCTCGTTGAAAGACTTTGACAAATCGTCGATCACCCTCCAACGAGGATCGCTTCCTATCTCGACAAAGACGACCCCTGCTAAATCCTCCTACTTCTCCTCCCACTTTTCTTTCCTAACCGGACAGTAATCAGACTAGGTCGAGCTTCGTGCTCGATCGAAAACATTCTTAAGTTTTTTTCTTTCTTTTTCTTTCCTTTTCTTTTCTTTCCTTTCCTTTCTCTTCCTTTTTATCTCTTTCTTTTTTCCATACTTTTTCCCCCTCTCCCTAGCTTCTAACACTTTAGATGGAAAAAAGCGGAAGAAATGTATACCCAGACGAACTACACGTCGTCGGGGGTTGATCGATCTTGAAAAATCTCGTTTTCGTGTTTCTTCTCCTTCGAAATCGATTTTTGAGAGACAGAATCGTTGACCTCGAAGCCATCGTTACACCATCGTCGATCTCTTTCCTCCTTCTCCGTCTTTCTTCTTCTCTCGGCCTTGGCATTTGCGAATAAATGGATCTACTGTCCCTCCGTACAGGAAGGACCGAAGAAGAAAGAAAACGGGCAAAGGAAAAAAAGAAGTGAAATAAGAGACGAATAAGAAAGAGGTGGAGTAGGAGTAGGAGGAGAAGAAGGGAGATAGAAGAAGGGAGATAGAAGAAGCAGAAGGC